ATCCTATATAACCCCATATGAGTTATAGTCTAAAGTCCTTAAAGGGGGGTTATATAGGGGATTATATATGGGACTACTATAGGGGTTATTAAGGGGAATACTAGGAGTTTAGACTATAACCCCACATGATTCACATATCATGTTCCTGATCTGAGCCCTAGTCTAAACTCCTAGTATCCACCCTAATAAACCTTATACTCCCCTATATCATCCCTTACATAAGGCCCCTTCAAGGAGTTTGGACGATAGCTAATGTCATGTTCCTCAAATGCCGGGTAAGCCCAATTTCTTCATGCCTCGAACCGGGCCAACATGGCCTTTGCCTGCCCTCGTGTGCCGGGGCACGCAGCTTACGCTTTAGGACATAGGGTGTAAGACTTACCTGTACCAACAATGGACTATCAAACAAAGCAGGAATGTAACATGACCTGGAAACTGGCTTCATTTAGTGTTGTACAGGGGCTTGGACTTCCACAAATTTAGGTGTCTGCCGATGATACTGATAACAGTGTATTGGGGTGTATATGCAAAGGGCCGCCCCCTGGTCGTTTCTCAGCATGATTAGTACATAATATCCTGGAGGGGAGCCCCTAAAATCTCAGTCTTATTTGCATAGATTCCCATAACTGCTCTCTGAAGAAATCCCCTGTCTCCATAGGTGCGCAGTTGCGTTACCTGGATTCACAAAAATTCGTTCAGGGCTGCGCGCCGGGGGGGAACGCTTTAAGTCGGGGAAGCTTGTATGAAGTCGGAGCGTGTCAAAACAATCACCAACACAATACCTGCAAGCCCCTCGATGATCACCAGACTACCTGACCCTACCCCCGACTTGATGTGCCGCAGGGGATGCAGTGCAAAGGCTGAACAAGGCCTGTCATTTTGCTGGTTTTCAAGGTTAGAGCACAGGATTCAGGGGTTTGGGTTGGAAGGGTTTCTCTTCATGATTTCTTCCAAAAGGGGATCCCCGTGAATCCATCTGCAATCCCTACACATCCCCAGGGCCCCCAAACGTACCCTTCATTTTGAACAACCTTGCTTGAACTGAACCAGTTCGAAATGCAGTTGAGGTTAGTTCTAGCTTGAGCTATGGAATAGGACCTTTTCCGGGAGTAGCATGGGAGAAATAAGCTCAGTCATTTCAATTACAGCTTACTTTAGGTTATGTGCCTTTTCTTAAACTTAGAGGTGTTAAGCTAATTTCGAGCTTAATTGTGCGAGGCTTTGCCGAAATAGGTTGGCACCCCCCCTGATTCGTGTGGGGCCCTCAATAGTCCGAAGTTGTGCAGCCTAAAATGTAGTTTTGGTAGCGGGCCTGTGGATTCGGATTTTACAGCCCTGCTATGTGAGCCATTACGCGGGGAGCAGAATCTAATTTCAAATTACGACTACGACCCAAAATTGCTTGGTGGGTCCCCATCTGGTCACACTGAACATACCTCCATTTTAATTTAGAAAGCAGGGCCCAAGGTTAGGGAGCAGCCCTGAACTTGAAGTCTATCACCCCAAGCCCTAAACCCCAGACCCTAGGTTGGGCTCGAAGGGATGGGGCTTAAGTTCCACTTTTTTACGCCCATTAGGTTTCGGGGTTTAGGATTTAGGGTCTAGCGGGTTGGTGGCAACCGTGAGAGTCCAAAACCCAGTAAGACGTCTCTTAGGCACAGATTCTCTGCCTCAGCTTGCAATTATAATCCCCTTTAAGTAGATCGAATATGGGGTATATGGGGATCTTAGTATAATATACCCAAAGCCATATTCTATCTACTTAAGGGGAGCTATAGTTTCTTCTTGAAAGTAGTCTCCGGAAGGCCAACGCCCCGTATCCGCGTAAACCCCTGAACTCCAAACCCTGGACTGGGTTTAGGGTTTATAGGGCTGCATGGCTACTGCAGACTGTAAGCCAGAAGCCTCGGCCGAAATCCCGAACCAGAAGCCGTGCACCTTTGAGTTTAGGGTTTAGAGTAGGGTTTGGGTCTACATCCTGAGCCCTGTGCCCTAAATCCCAAACTCTGAGTCAAACAACCCTGACACCCTAGAAGGAAACCCAAATCCTTAACCCTAATCTCTCAAGTTAAAGCTACGGTCTTAACCCTTTTTCTTGACTGCCGAAAAATGCTGAGCCTAGAAACCGCTAACCCTTCAAATCCGCAACTTTGCAGCCTAAAGCCTAAACTCTACATGTACGATAGCCTTATAGATGCTTGCCGATAATCATCTAGGGTCCCTGCTTGGAGGTTGACGAAAAGTACTACCCAATTAAACGCTTGCAAATATCTGTACTTAGAACCAAATAATCAGCCCCCTAAGTTCCCTCGTATGCTTATAACTTACAACGAGTTATAAGTTAGCAGTACCTGGTATACTTGGGTTGTAATTAGCCTAACCCTGGGGCTCTAACTCTATAAATAATACCTACATTGGGCCCTAAAGCCATAAATAGTACCTACAGTGGGCCCTAAAACCCATAAATAGTACCTACATTGGAACCCTAAACCCTAAAC